TTATAGATACATTTTCAAAATTTTCTTGGGCTTTAGAACTCAAAAAGAAAGATGGAATTAATGTTTCAGAAGCATTTGAAAAAATAAAAAAAAACAAGCTATATCACAAAATCATCAAGCACCCAATTTACTTCACACAGATAAAGGTTTGGAATTTGAAAATAAAAATTTTAAAAAATTTTTGCAAGAATATGAAATTAAAATGTATCACACCCAAAATGAAGAAAAATCATCAATTATTGAAAGATTTAATAGAACATTAAACAGTAAAATGAGATTACAATTTGAAGTTACAAATTCTAAAAAATGGATTAAAATTTTACAAAGCTTAATATATGAATATAATTTCAAAGACATACATCGATCTATTGGTATGAGACCTTGTGAAGTAAATAAATCTAACGAAGATGTTGTTTTTCACAAATTATTTTCTACAAAAAACAAACCTAAACCAAAAATTAAATTTAGTGTAGGTGATAGAGTAAGAATAACAGCTTCTAAAAAAACATTTGGTAATAAATTTATTAATAATTGGACAAAAGAAATATTTATAGTTAATGAAATTTTAAACACAAATCCTATTACCTATAAAATTATAGATTTAAACAATGAAGAGATTATAGGGAGTTTTTATAACCAAGAGTTACAAAAAAAAAATTTTTAATAATATGACCTAAGTTAAAGGAAGTGATATCTATAATAAAATATCTTCGGTATCAAGCCCATGATTATGAAATTATAAAGTTGGGAGACACCGTGTCTCCCAACTCATTAGGATATCATATTCTAGTAACCGTATGGTATTGTATCATAATCTGGTAATATTATTCTTTTATCATAACCAAACGAGAATTTTTTTGTAACTTTCTTATTAACTATATTTTTAGTAAGCGTATCACGTGTTATTTGATTATATTCTAGTTCTATATTACTATCTTTATTTTTTTGTTCTATTAATTTTATCATTGATTCACCGTTAAGTTTTAACAAATTTTGATAATTCAAAGTAAATCCCTTTATAACCGTTTGATGTTTATTATCGTTTGTTTTATAATAATAACTTTTAGGACCTGTAGATGCCCAATCTGTAATATGTACATTTTCACCTAATTCATCAGTCCATTCTCCCAACATTGTTCCTGTTTTAATTTTATTAACACCATTATCTATATAGAAAATAGAATCGGTATCAAAATAAGCAACAGCCCTACCTTATTTATCTAACATTTCATATAAACTTAATCTGGCACTAGATGTTGTAAATAAAGCTATTAATATATTTGTATTATGAAAATTCTCAACGTAATAATCTTTATAATTATAACACATTTGTATCATATTGTCGTTTAATATTTTTATATTGATATTTTCTAATCTATCATCTAATAATATTTTATAGAATTGTTGTGGATCTGTAACAAACTCAGTTTTTTTCATTTTTTGTCGTTGTCCAAATTTTCCCCATAAACTATTTAAACACAGCTTTGCTACAGCTCTCCTACCTGGATTATCACCTAATTTTAATTTATCTAATAAAATACCCATTTTATCGAAAATTGTTTTTATATACTCATCATTACAGCTATAATTATGTTTTGAACTTTCTAATTTTATTTTTATAAAATTATCTACATAATCTTTAAATAAATCTGTTGATTTCTTTTCAAAATGCCACACTTCATAAATTTTTGTTATAATATATCCTTTTTCCAAAGCTTTATTAACTTCATCTGTTGTCCATGTTCCTATAAGTTGTCTTTCATTTTTAGAATGATCACATCTTTGATTTTGGTCTACAGCACATTTATAACACAAAGGAAATAATAACTTTTCACTTTTTTTCGTTTTTATTTTAACTGGAAGTACAGGATGATAAAGATTTCTTGGAGGTTTTTTTATTGATGTACTTCTTTCAATTGTTTTTTGAAACAAATCATCCATTGTTTCATGATTTATATTATTTATAGTTTCTCGATCTTTATAACATTTAGTACAACCGTACCAAAAACATCCATGATATTGATAAACCGTTTTTGATTTATTATCAAATCCATCTACTTTAGCTCCTGCTATTATTATTTCGTTCCCATTTAATGCATGTGAGATATTTTTATTATTAAAATTTTGTTACCACGTTATCGATTGTTTTGAATAATTTTCATTTTTTTCTTTATCTAAAACAGCTATAGTATCTTCTAACAAATATTTTGATCTGTAAATACTCATACAAACACCTGCTATAGTTGTATAGCAAAAAGGATCAATGCTAGCTATATCCAAAAATTGTTTTCTTAATTCTAAACATCCTCTTCGTAAAATATCTACATCTGAATTACAGTAAGCCTCTAATTCTTCTTTAAAAATAAATATATAATTTGCATTAATTTTTTCATTATACCATTTTTCAAATTCTAGTTTATTCTCTGGTTTCATTGTTTCGACTCCATAATATTTTTTATCAGGTAATTTACCAATATAATTTTGATTTTCTACTGTATTAAAGAAATGCGGAAAGTAACCTTTTTTCAGTTCTTTGAGACCAAACGGTTTGGGAAAACTACTGAGAGGACCTTGAATAAAATTAGAACTATCTATTATTCTTATTTTTAAATATTTAATTTCTAATAACATTAATTTTGTACCATTATAAATTGTAAATGGTTTCAGAGTGTTATCAACCAAGTATTTCAATATAAATTGTGAATCGTATCCTTTTGCATAATGTGCTATAAATGTATAACCCCTATATTCCTCAGATATTACTTGTTTACAAAATTCTTCATTTGTATCAAACATAATTTTATTTCCTTCAAAATCATGAGCAATTATTTTATTTGCGATATGAGTTCCTGTTTCTTGTTGAGCTTCATAATCAAAAAACAAATATTTTTCTGTGTAAGAACATTGATATGGTTTATTTGTACCTCCACATTTTGTACATCCTACTAAGCATTTACCTCCTTTTGCTAATCTACGCTGCATATAACATTGATGTTCATTTATTTTCACTTCTTCTAGACAATTTCTACATTTACTATAACCACAATTATGTTCCCTATCTCTAAACAATATTCTATTACAATCAATACATTTATATACATAGGCACATACATATTCGTGATTATCTAAACATTCTTGATTATAACAATATCTATTACATTTTTCACAATATATTTTATTTTTTGTACTAATTGAATGTTCAAATCCCTCACCATAATATGTACACAATTTACGTATATTTTTATTTTTATTTTTACCACATATATGTTTATCTTTATTTTGATATGGTTTATCGCACTTATTACAATAATAACACGATCCGTAGAAAGCTTTAGCTGATTTAATAACATCAAAATGATTACCATTTTTATAAAAATAAATTTTAGTTTCTTTATCCTCACCCTTATAAATTAAAGTATTTAAATTTTCAGCACAAATAACATTTATTTGAATATCTAGTGCAAGTTCCACATTCTTAATATCATTCAATGTAAATTCTTCTTCGTTATATTCTGGTAACATATTACATAATTCTAAAGCTAAATCTTTTTGAATTTTTCTACCTATCTTCAATTGTTTAATTTTATTGGGATCTAATTCATGACCTAAAATATTGTTTGTTTCAGTAGATAATGCAACAACAATAACTCTCGGACAACATAAATTATCATCGTTATTAATCTCAATAATACTTCTTTTTGTTTTTATATTTTCTGATAAATTAATTATTTTAGTTCTCCTTGAACCTCTTGGTATTTTCACTAATTGAACTTGAAAAGTAGTTTCTGTTATATCAATTGTTTCAGCTGAAGTTAATATGTTAACAATAATTGATTTTATGTTTGTTAAAAAATTATCAGATTTCATGCCAGTAGATATAGTATTTTTTAAATTTGGATTCATCACTATAATATTTATTTGATCACCTTTTTCATAACTTGAATTTTTTTGGACAAGTTTTAACATGGAATCTAGAGCTTTATGTACATAATCAATTTTGTATTTTGCATTACACAGCTTTAGATCTTTTATTAAAGCTTCTCTAAACCGAATTTTATATTCAGCTTCATGTATTTTAAATTTCTTTTGGATTTGTTTATTCATTTGAATTATATCTATCAAATCATAAACATCTGATGTTTTTTCTAATGAACTATTAAAATAATTTTCTTCATTGAAAATTGTTTTTTCTAACTTCTGAAATGGATTATTGTTTAATGAACTATTAAAAACTTCATCCTTGAATATATCTTCTTGAAATTTACGAAAAGGTTGTTGCTATCTTGTTAATTTAATTTTTTTTATTAAACATTCTTTATTAAGTTTGTAAATTTGTTTTATATCAAAACTTCGAGCTATTGACTTAAGCTCAGAAGTTGTTAAATCGCAAATTGTATGACCTCTCCTAATTCTTGATATAAGATCATTTTTTTTAAGGGTACTATAACCCTTAAGTTTAGCCTCTTTTGCTATTAACTTAAGCTCAGAGACTTTCATATTTTCTTATATGCTTATAGAATTTATATTTGCCATTATTTTTTATTATTTATTATATTTTTAATTTTTAAATTAATTTTTTAAATTTCTTTTTAATACATTTTGCAATTAAATATTCTATTTCGATTTTATTTTTGATAGAACAATTCTATTAAAAAATATTTTAAGTAATTATTGCATTTAAATGTCACGTGTGCCGAAGTCCCCCATAGGAAAATATTTTTAGTTTTTTTTTTGCATTTCAATTTCTATGAAAATTATTTTTAGGATTTTTGCATTTCAGATTTTTTGAAAAATATTTTAATAATAATTATTGCGTTTCACGATTTGCAAAATAATTAAAGGAATATTGCATTATACCATAGTGACCCCTATACTAAGGAATTTTGCATTTCAATTTCTATGAAAAATATTTTAATAATTATTGCGTTTCACGATTTGCAAAATAATTAAAAGAATTTTGCAATGTACCATAGTGACCCCTAGACTACTCATATGTTTCTATGTTATCAGATTTGATTCAAAAATCAAAATTCATTTGTACAACAGCAGACATATGGAGTGGAAATAATAAAAGTTATCTAGGTATGATTTAAATTATTGTTTGTTTTTTTAAATATTATAAATACCTACTTAGGTATCCTTCATTTTTTTAAATTTAAATTTAAGTATTAAACTATTTATAAATAGTTGATGACAAATAGAATGACAATAGTATTTAATCTGTAATACTTCGTAATTCATAGTTATTGCAGCTATGTCATATTACAATTGTTTAATGTCAGGTATTCATAATATATATATTTATAATCACATTTATGTACCAGAATTTTATTTAAAAGTCTGGCACGTTAAAACAAAGAAAATATTTTGAAAATAAGTAGTTTATGAATTTAAAAATAGTTAGTTTAGTAACAATAATTTTTGTGTTTGAAATATTATTTAAATAGTAATATTGTATAATTTTTCAGGAATGACTTGTCATTTAATTGATCCTATAACTTATGAAAGAAAATCATTTGTTTTGGGCTGTAAGCGAATAATCGGAAGTCATACTTACTTGAATATCACTGAAACAATGACTTGTATGACACAAGAATATAATATTCATTACTCAAAAATAAGCCATACGGTTACAGATAATGCAAGTAATTTTGCAAAAGCTTTTAGAACTTTTTCAACAAGTGTAAAATCAACTCAGTCAACTACTTTAAGTGTAGGTGATTTAAACGAAGATGGATCACTTTTTGAGGATTCAGATGTGGAAACTGAAAATATAACTGTGGTAGATATTGGTCAAATATTTACCAAATCTGAGGATCAAAATATAGACGAGTCATTTTGTTTACCCCCACATATGAGGTGTTGTGCACACACTAAATTTAATATCAACAACTGATATAAAGAAAATTAAAGATGCAAGTTTCATTAATATATCTGAATCAACATTCAAAAAATTGTTTAGCTTTTGGACTCTCATTAGTAGAAGTACAGTTGCTTCAGACAAAATTTTAGAAAAGTGTGGCTGTAAATTTCCTATTCCTGTAGTAACTCGTTGGAACTCTTTGTATGACTCTAGTTTAAAAGTTTTAAAGTATAAACAACAGTTGACTAAAGCATTTGATGATTTGCATTTAATAAAATTAAAATTAAGCGAATGGACTTTTTTGGAAGAATATTGTCAAGTCATGGAACCATTAGCTATATCACTAGATAAGTTACAAGGTGAAAACAATAGTTTTTTGGGGTATGTAGCTCCAACTATTTTAGTTCTAAGGCGTCTGTTAATATCTTTTACAGATTTGAAATACTGTAAACCATTAAGCTTTGCTATTATTCAAGCTATTGAAACTCGTTTTAATTATATATTGGATTTAAGTCGTCCAGAAAGTAAAGACTTTATTATAGCCTCTATAAGTCATCCCAAATTCAAGCTAAGTTGGGTACCACTTAGGTATATGAATTTATGTAAGAACCTATTTATAAATGAATGTTGCTTAAGAATGAATACCGAAACCAAATCAACACATTTGACTATTACACAGTCTGATAAGGATGACAGTGATGATGATTTTTTCGATAGTATTTGCAATGACAATGTTTTTACCAGCCCATCTGAATCTGAATCAAGAAATTCTAATTTAGCAAATTTGCAAGCATTATCTTTCTTAAATTTGAAAAAAAAAGATCTTGACATTTTAAATGATTTTCCAGTAATTAAAGAAGTATTTTTAAAATATAATACTACCATTCCATCATCGGCAGCAGTAGAGCGGCTATTCAGTAAAGCTGTTCAAGTGTTAACAACAAGACGCAATCGACTCAGTGATGATACATTTCAAATGCTGTTATGTTGTAGATCAAAATATGATTTATAAAAAATAATTTTTTTCAAATTGTTAGTCAAAAAATGACATAATATCAAAGTTGCCTTTATTTTAACTATTATTTTCTCTGTTGTATTATATATTATAATTTGTTATTACTAATATTCAAATAAAAATATTACATTATTATAAATGTGTGATGAAGAAATAACAATTTTTTTTTATATGATAATAACATTAAGTTAAAAAAAAATTATCTGTTTATTATACAGATAAAATATTATTTATTTTATCTTTATCTAGATAAAAAAATGAGTGGTTATATATTATCTTATCTAGATAAATTTTGAATGACTTATCTGTTATCTTATCCAGATGATTATTTGGTCATCTTTTCCCAACACTGGCTACAATTGATATAACAATAAAACTGAATACTACTGCAAAAAAAAAAAAAGATCCATTTATAAAGGTAGTATAAGCAATATATGTATATAATATATGTAAAAGCAAAAACAAATATGATATAGAGCTCTCAGCTATAGTAATAATACACAACGTTCTTTTGTGTAGCATGAAATAATAGTAAAGGTAAGATGTATATACGCTGGCGTTCGTAATAGTTTATTAAGATATTTATATAAAAAGGTCGCCTATTTATGTTGTTATTGGTATTATATTAAATATGTATTCGTTGTCATAGAAAAATAAAATACTCATATTGTATTATTATATATGTATAATATGGTCAAATATATTTATTAAAATATCTGTTTATACTTAAAAATATAATATATAATAAATTAAAATTATTTATGTATATTTTTAATAGCGTTATGACAATAATCGTATGGAAATATTTTCAATTAATATATTAATACATATGTATTTATCAAAATTATTGAACATTTTTACGAACATTTATAAGATATATTATATACATATGATCTTATCGGGTTAACTATGATAATTATAGGATTTTATCTACATGTCTACGATTTTAAACAACTTAGTATATTTTTATATAGCGATATTTATTTTAATTCATCGATAAATTAATAATTTTACATGAAGTGTTCTATTTTTTATAAAGTACCTAATGGCTAATATAATTATCCAAGTAAGTTATATATATAAAGTTATCAATAATATATTTACCATTATAATCGTAAATGTGATCAGCTGGTGTAAAAAAGTCTTGAATTTCTTGCTTGGTTATGGTTGGTTGTTGTTGAATTACAATATTTGAACCTGAAAATATTATTATTATTAATTATATAGGTACTTGAAAAAATAATTCAACGAACAAATTACACTTTATGTTTGACACATTTATCATATATTACTTTTAGATAAGTTTTAATGTAATAATTAAACATGATAGTTATACGTAGCCTTGATTTTATATATATATATATATATATATATTATTTGATAAATCTGTAAATAGTTAAAAAATACTTACGATGTCCTTGGCATGTCTGATGAGACTATCTCTCCGTGTGAATATTTCTGAACATATACTGCATGAAATCTTGTTAAATAATTTGATTTTTATAAAACTTGTAAAATATTTGTATACACTTTAAAACACTTAAGAACTCTGAAATAACTCGACTTGACACTTGAACGGTAGTAAACGGACTGATCTCATATTGCTCTGTGTACATTATGGCTGGAATTCATCGACAATACTCGGACGTGTCACTACAGGCTTGTACAGGTCTGTAGTCGGATAATGTTGTTTGGGTGTGAGGACGGGTGGCGGGGTGTAAAATATAATTTAGGCTGGTACTGTTGGATTGGAATGTCTTATTGCTTATAACTGTGACTATGTATGAGTTTGTGTGTGTGTGTGTGTGTGTGTGTGTGTGTTGGAAATATATTAGTTCGGAATGAAAAACTGATGAGTAAGGGATAATATTTTTAGATATGTGTTATGTTGTTACCTTATATTATATTATTAGTATGTATGATATAGTCGATACATATTTACATCAGAATATTATATTTATATTTTTTAAAAGGTAGGTAATGTATTTGATTAGGAAGGGGTAAAATATATGTAGGGCAAGTGTTCGATATAGTCGAAACAAATGTGAATTAGAAGATTATATATATTTTTTAAAGGGTAGCGAGTTAATGTATTTGAAGGGGAAGGGGTAAAATGTGTAGGATGGGGTGACGTGTGACGAGTTTATGTGTGTTGCGGGTTGCCTATATTGAGTAATTAATGCAAGTTTGAGCGGTGCGTGTACTTCGAATTGCCTATACAGAGCAGCCTATGATTTTACATGTAAAATTTAAGGGAGCGGTGCTGCTGAACATACATAATCATCCTACTTGAGTAATTCAAAAGTTTCTTTTTTCATTCGATAAAAACTTTGAAAGCGATCGTCATCTTCGAGGTCTTTAAATACACAGCAAACGCTCCTCGATCGTCGCAATTTTGACGCCAAAATGGGTGTACCCAATAATTGTGTAGGTACAATTTTTTGGCCTCCTTGGGCATTTACGTCTATATAACAGTACTCATATTATCAGGGAGTCAACAGTTTCATCTTAAACATTTTATTAACAGTCTCACAAACTTATAATATATCATATTGTCTCACAACGCTCATAACAAATATACACGGAAAAAAGTTCAATTTTTTTTTCAAATATTTCAACTTCTCAAATTAACAATTTAAGTATATATCATTAGTATAGTTATTATAAAAAAAAATATTAATATAGGTAGGTAGGTGTACGTTACATATGTTACGATTCAAACGAATACGTGTACAATATTCAATTAAAATACAAATTTTATTGTTGAACATTAGTTATGCTATCATAAAATAGTTATAAATCTAATTTAATGTTTTTTTTTTATTTTTTACAATTACTTTTTTACTAAACAAAATTATTTATCCTATTTTTTGAGCATGGATTTATTTATTTATTTTTTTTTTACGGGTTGAATTTTTTTATAAATTACAATATGTTTTCAATCAATTCAAATAATATACGAAATAGAACAATCAACAATGTTCTAGAATCTTTAGAATATTATCGTTTTAACCCTGAAATCACCTTTATGTAGGTAGGAGATTATTATCCATTTATGGTAAAGGACCTTGTATTAAATATTTTAACCGATCCACTTGGAAATTATACATTAGTTGAAATATGTATACAAAATGTTGGGGACCAAAAGTATTGTAGCAGTGCATGTTATCATCATGCAAGATCTAGTGGTTATACGTTTCGAACTTACAATCCTTTATAGCAGTTTGTTCGATTTAAAGATATACAAGCGTTTAAAGATTATTGTTATATTATACACGATGTATATTATGTGGACGGTTCTTAACTAAAGGTGTTGATTTACAAAGTAATCCGAAGTAGTACATTGTTTGGTACGTACATTCATGAGAAACAATAGGCTCAATAAAGCTATTGAATATGGCCAATCCAAAAACCTAAAAGACAAGGCATATTTAAAAAAAAATATTGTATAGTTACCTACTAATAGGTTCAATAACATGAAACTAATATTATTAAACAACTAAATATAAAATTAATTACTTGTACATACATGTTTAGATTTGGATTTTCATTAATTGACTACTCAACAATAGTCAACATTATCAATTATTTATGATATATTATGTATTTCAAATGTCAGGAAACTGGTAGGTAATGGTTAAGCGTCAAAGTCTTTAAGTACCTAGTTGTTTTTGAGTTATTTAACTTTGGGTACTAAGAATAATAGGTCTTTAATAATGGGTTTGAAAGATATGAGGTCAATGGTGAGGTTTATCTATATTTATAGTTTGTAAGTGTCCATGTACTATGATTTGAGAAAAGTCAAAGTTATTATAACGGCTTGACTCCTTAGTAGTACAGAAGTCAGAAAATCTCAAGATAATATATTTAAAAAAATCAGAATTTGAATAAATTTATTATTAAATGAAAAAGAGGAGTGAACATGATGGGTGAATCATCTTGTAAATAGTATATATATACATATAGTATATATATATATATATATATCAAAAACAGTAAAGTTTACAATTTTTTTTTTTTTTTTTTTATCAATCCTTAGATTGGTTAAATGACTTTGATGGCTCTCCACTTATCCCTATCCATTACAGCTACTTTTAGTTCCTTATAGCTGGTTTTCCCTATATCGTCTATGATCTGTTTCATAAATGGTGTTCTTGGTCTACCTCTTCCAGCTTTTCCTTCTATTATTATTACTTCTATTATTTTCGTTATCCATTCATTATTTCTCATAATATGTCCGATCCATTTTTTCCTCCTTTCTTTGATTGTTTCCATATTGCTTTTTGTTCGTTCATTCTTAGGTATACTTCTTCATTTCTAACCTTCTCTGTCCAAGCAATTTTCAGTGCTCTTCTCCAACACCATGTTTCAAATGCTTCAATCTTTTTTCTTTCCGCTTTTAGTATCGTCCATGTTTCTGCCCCATAGAGGGCTATACTCCATACGAAACTCTTTATAAGATTTTTCCTGGTGTTTAAGCTAACCGTGTTTGCCGTTAATAAGTGCTTCTTTTTGTAAAATGCCTGTTTTGCTTGTGCTATTCTACTCTTTATGTCTATTTCGCTTCTTCCATCATGTGTTATTTTGCTTCCTAGATATGTAAAACATTGAACAGTTTCCAGCTTCTCATTTTCAATCTCTATGTTCGAAAGCAATTCCTGCTTGCTGCATATTAATATTTTTGTCTTGCTCTTATTTATTTTCATTTTGTATTCTTTACAGCTATCATTCATTTTTGTTAACATTTTGCCTAAAGCTTCTTCACTTTCCGCAATCAATGCTATGTCGTCTGCAAAGCGCAACATTTGTACTAGCATACCATTAATTTTAATTCCTCCAATTTCGTCTTCCCTTAATTGCTTTAGAGTATTTTCAATGTACAGATTAAATAGTGTTGGTGATAAGTTACACACTTGTCTAACTAATTTTTCAATATTTGCTTCTTCCCATGATCTGCTTTTTTATCTGTTATAACAGCCTTTTCATTTAAATATAACTTATGAATAATTCTTCTGTCTTTAATATCGATATTTATGGTTTTCATAATATTGAATAATATTTCCCAATTGACGTTGTCGAAAGCTTTTTCTAAGTCAATGAACGGCTATATACATAGGCTTGTTTACTCTATACATCTTTTCCATGATCATCCTTAAGCATAGTATAGCCTCCCTGGTTCCCCTATTCCTCCTAAAACCAAATTGGTCTTCCTCTAGATTGACACTTATTTTTGCTTCTATTCTTTTGTGTATTATCTTTGTTAATATTTTCGATGCATGTGTTATTAGACTTATGGTTCTATGATCTTCACATTTTTCTGACTTCTTTTTTTTCGGTAATGCTATCATTAGGCACTTCTCGAAATCTTTGGGGACTAGCCCTTTTTCATATGCATCATATATTATTTTAAATAATATCTCCTTTCCTTGGCCTTCCAATGCTTTTAATATTTCTCCACTTATGTTGTCTATGCCTGTAGCTTTGTTGTGTTTCAACTCATTTAGTGCTGTCTCAAATTCCCCTTTCAAAATGGGTTGTCCTATATTTTCTTGCTCTGCGTCTTCTTCTTCTATGGCCCATTGTCCCGCATTTATATTATCATTTCCATATGACTTTTCAATATATTGTTTCCATACTTCTAACTTTTTTTTCCCTTCAGTGATTATTTTACCATCTGTTCCTCTAAGTATAGTGGTTTTATCTTTGAATTCTCTAAAAAATCGTTTAATGTTCTTGTACGCTTTATCACTCAAGCCTTTTATTAGGCAGGAATCAATATCTTTGCATATATTGTTTAACCATTCCTCTTTGGCTTTCTTCGCTTCTCTATTGACCAAGTTTCTATACTTTTTATATTCTGCTATTCCCTCTTCACTAACCGCGTTTTTGTATTTTCTTCGTTTTTCAATGAGATCTATAATTTCGTTGTTTATCCATGGTTTCGTAGGCATTTCTTTAGTGAATTTGAGATGTTTTTCCGCTGCTTTTGTCATCGTATCCCTTAATTTTTCCCATTCGACTTTGTCATTATCCTGGTTCTTATTGCTATTTGCTTCTTGTAATAGATTATTTAATTCTTCATTGAAATCACTTCTTATTTCCTCATTCTTTAGTTTATCCATGCACCATTTTCTTTTTGTACTTTCGTTGGGTTTCTTTCTTTTCAGGCTTAAGTTTGTTTCCATTAACACTAGATTGTGATCACTGTTAATGTCCGCGCCTGGGTAAGTTTTGCATTTTTTTACTTGGTTTTTATATCTATTTCTTACTAATATGTAATCTATTTGATATCTTGCTCTTCCTCCTGGCATGGTCCATGTATATCTTCTCCTTATCGGTTGTGAGAAAATTGTATTCGTAATGACTAGGTTTCTTTCTTTGCAGAAAAGTTTACAATACTCAATAATATATTTAAAAAAAAAAAAATCAAAAAAAACTAGAAACTATGGACAAACAAACAAATTATGTTTAGATTAAATACACAAAATAGTGCCTCAAATGATTAGCAAGTTTCATTAAATGGAAAATACATTAAAAAATTGAACATATTATAAGAGTAATATAGCTATAGTAAATTAGTTGTGAGGACAATAACTATTGTCTTCTAGAAGATGGAAAATTAAAATGATAGGTTCATATATGTTATTATATATATTGATATTATGAACGCTGCAAGCCAATATAACAATTTCCAAAACAAACGCTTTTTTTGCAATGGGCTGCCCCAATTTATTGTTTTTTTGGCCCAAATTACCAGCCAATTGTTAGGTGTATTGTTTAGAAATAAACTGCAGTTTTCAGAAACTACCATACAATAATTATGGGTTCATATAAACAACCACCAAATATTTAAAGAAACATTATAGTGAGCCAATATAACTGTCTCTCAAACATGATTGAGTAGGCAGTAGTCCATTAAATCAATAAATGCAACTTTGTGTAAGTATTTTATAATCAAATTATAACAGTTATTTATAAAAATTTGGTATACTAACCATGAATTACACTGCATATTGAGAGGCTGGAAAATTTCTTTTTTTTTTGTTCCTGCCAAAGTAGGAGTAATTTTGAAGCAGTTCATCTTTGAATAGTTTATTTAAAATTCTTGCTAGTATGATTTTTACTTTAGATCCTCCAGACAAGGATAACTCTTTTACCTGAGAAATATATTAGGAGCTATTGTTAATGAATTTACCAAATAATAAAAAACCAAGAAGTGCTTACTAACCAATTTTTTTCTATAAGTTGGAGAACTTTGAATTTGATTTTAAATGTTTATTAGATCGTTCTCACTTTCTAAAGGAAATGAGCAGTCTAAATTGGAGAAGTCTTCTTTTTCGATATCCAAGTGATTATCCTTAGATGCAGTTATTTTCTTTAATTCTTCATTGAGGGATTTCAATTCAATTTTCATAACAACTTGATTGGCCAAAAGTTTTCTCAAACACACATCTAAGTATGAATATTAATTAAATTAAATCAAAATGTATAAATATAAAAATATTTGGTTATTTCTAGGCATTAATAATCATTAATAAAACGTATTAATACATATATGTATATGCATGCTTGATATATCATATTATATTTGTATGTATAAAAAACTAAATACTTATACAAAAAATAGCTTAAATATGTATATTATGCTTATGTATTATAGTTCTTCATGTTCATCATTTATTATCATAACACATACTTTTAGTACTATGTATCTTAACTTTTCAATCACTATTCCCTATTTTTAATTGTCTCTATTATTAAAGCAATAAATTAAAAAGGAATTTTGTTTCACGTTATTGTATAAGGTCTAGTTTTTAAAATATTAATAAAATAAATATATATAATATACACATTTTATGTTGTTATAGTTATAATAATGATCAATTTATAAATTTACTAGGCGGTAGACCATTCAGCATTTGTTGAGTCGAAAATCGTTTTTTGGGAGAATTGGAATAATCATTGAACATATTATGGTTATATGGAAATCTGTGGGTTTGTTTTCCTTTTTTAGGAGACTTTAAATTAGTATGTTCGCTGCTTTTCTGAGATAAATAGTCTAGACATTAAAATAAAATTGATTATTAGATAATTTTATATTTCTCGAGTATAATAATTGTTATGTAACACTCACCACCACCATTGGAAATCATGTTATAATCATCATCAGCATTGAACATATTATGGTTATACGGAGATCTGTAGGTTTGTTTTCCTTTTTTAGGAGACTTTAAATTAGTCTGTTCACTGCTTTTCTGAGATAAATACTCTAGACCAGTAGTGGGCAAACTTTTTTAATGGGGGGCCACATTGTTTAAGAAATTCTAGAGGAGGGCCACAATTATAGAAAAAATACATTATGTGTTTAAGCTTTGAATCATATAATATTATAAAAACATTACAGCATTACACACAAATGTTACAAATTACCTTTTACCTTAAAATTTAAATAATAATTAATTTAACTTTTATTTGAAGGCCCAACCATGATAGGCGTGTGAGACATATAGAATTGTTTTTGATCATCCATAATATTTTCGAAAGCAGGTTCCATCTGTGACGAAGCAACTTTCAACAGTGCGAAAAGGTGTTCATCAGTCAATCGGTTTCTGATTGAGTTTTTCCGCAATTTCATGGTCGAAAAAGTTTGTTCGCACACATAAGACGACTCAAACATCGCTATGATTTTCTGGGCGTGAGCAATTATCTTTGGGAATTCAGCTTTCAGAAGTGCTCTATAAAAATCTAGTTTTGTGGAATTTAGTATTAATATAGCTCCCTGTTTAAAATGGAAAATGGCAACGTTGTAGAGTTTTTTTATGCTCAATCATGTAGGTTTTCTTTTGTATTCTGATTTCCTTCGATACGCCGACAATTTGGATCAATCGTGTCGTAAAAAAGGTGTTTTATGCTCAATCGACCACATAACAATATGTAACAATATGTATCATAAAAAAAACCATACACACCAAAATTTAAAGAATAATGGAAAAAGCTTCCAGAATTTGCCTCTTGGTTGTGTAAAGGTAAAACAGATATACTTTTTCACTGCAATGTTTGTTTCAATGACTATTTGGGTGGTCTTTTGGCAATTAAACGCCATTCAAAGTCTGAAAAACATAGGGACAATTCAAAATCGGTTTCAGTTTCAAAGTCTATTAATCAGTTGCCAAAACTTGTACAACATACAAGTCATGAATACCAAATAAAACAGGCAGAAATAAAATTGGCAATATTTATAGCGGAACACAATATCGCTTTTCAAACAAGTAATCATGTGGTATCTCTATTCAAAAGTATGTGTCCAGATTCGAGTGTATTACAAGGTATATCATGTAATCGTACAAAAAATACATCAATCGTTAACAATGTAATTGGACAATATGAATTTGAATATTTACTGGCAATTATGACGTCTCAAACATTTTCCATTTTGATCGACGAATCTACAGATCACTCTGCTGTTAAACATCTGGCGATAATTGTTCGAATTTTAGACTACAGCAATTTTGTGGTAAGAGATAATTTTTTATGCTTACTTCAAATTGCAAGCGCTACTGCTGTAAACATTTTTGAAAAAATAAAAACATTTTTTACTGAGCATAATGTGCCATATCAAAGTAACCTTGTAGGATTTGCATCTGATGGGGCAAATACAATGTTTGGTAATAGACACTCTGTCAAAACATTACTTGAAGAAGATGTACCTGGCATATTTGTGATGAAGTGTATTTGTCATTCGCTGACACTTTGTGCTTCCTATGCTTGCGAAAAAATTCCCAACAACATAGAAGAAGTGGTAAGAGACGTTTATAATTATATGAAACAAAGCTTTAAACGATCATCAGAATTTAAAGAGTTCCAAGTATTTGTCGACTGTAAACCTAATAAGCTTTTACAACCATGCCAAACCAGATGGTTATCTCTAAATTCTTGCATAAAGCGTGTATTGGAACAATTTGATGCTCTAAAGTTGTATTTTCAAGGTGAAAAATTGATTGACAATAAAGCATCTACCATATTTGCCAATTTAACTGATCCATTAACTAAGTTATATTTACACTTTCTGGAATTTGTATTGCCTATACTCGTTGATTTAAATGTAATATTTCAATCTACAAAACCAAAAATTCATGAACTGTATTATAAGATGGAAGTAGTTTATAAAATGATTTTAGAATGCTATATGAAACCAGAATATTTGAACTCAACTGATATTTCTAAAATACAGTACAGAAACCCGATTAATTTTCTTCCTTCGGAAAAAATTTACTTGGGAGGAACTTGTACTGTGGCTCTTGAAAATAATAATTTAATTTCTAAAATAGCTCAGGAACAATTCCGAACTAATTGTTTAAATTTTTATGTTGAGTGCTCCCATCAGATATATAAACGTTTTCCGTTTAATGCGGCTAATGTTCAATTATTAAAACTGCTATCCTTCTTAAACCCAAATAAAATTAAAGATATACCATCAATTGCTACTGTTTCATCAAAATTCCAAACCTTATTTTGATTTGAATGCCATTGACCGGGAATGGAGGCAACTACGCAATGAAGACCTTAATTTTAACAATGATGTACTTGAATTTTGGAAAACCGTAAAAAATATCAAAATCAATGATGATGAAACTTACCCATTAATTAATAATTTGGTATCTCATGTTCTATTACTTCCGCACAGTAATGCATGCGTTGAACGATTATTTAGTGCCATAAATTTAAACAAAACAAAGATTCGAAACAGATTATTCACGGAAACACTAACTGGAATATTGCATTCGAAAAATTTTCTAAACAGACAAAATAAAAGTTGTTTCGATGTTGATATTCCTAAGGATATGATCAAGAAACTCAATGCAAATATGTACAAATGACATTTATTTGATTAATACCTATTATTACCTATTAAATCATTATTATTATTACCTATTCCTAAACTTGTTATATTACTAAATGATATAAATTGTAACAAACATATAAGACTTTAAACTGTGCTCCTTAATTTTATTTTTAATTTGTTATGTTTTTCAGTTATTTTTTAATTTATTTAAGATTCATACTAGGATAAGTAGGTATGTAATAAAGAGATTTACTTAATGTTTTTTTTTCAATAAATCAATTGTTATTATTATTATGTTACATGTGTAGAAAAATCTTGGAATTGAGATCTATATTTTAAAATTGTTATATCTTATGACAATTTAAAGTACTTATTAATATTTTATTAAAAATGTATTTTAATGATGTATTTATATTTGACTTAAAATTAAAAAAATATGTTCCGTCATTTGAATTTAAAATAAAAGTGTATATTTTATTTTATTTAAATTTTATATAGATGCATATATTATTAGGTATTTTGAGGGGTAAAAAAAGTATAAATTTCTTGTAGTTTTCAAAAAACAAAATTTAAATGGTAATAATTCATGAAAATCAACAATACTACAATTATTATAAAAAAAATTAAAAGATATTAATAAATATTAAAAAATAATTAATAACTAATGAGACCTAATAAGTCGGTATTTTACGTGACTTCGTGGGCTCGTAGCTATTTATATCTTTATTAATATCTTTTTTTTCTAAATTCGAATTTTAAATCGACGAACCGGAAATCCTCGGAATTCCTTGAAAAATTAAAATCCTGCACTTTTCCTGCCGTATCCCCAAAATCCCCGGAAAAAGGAAAAATCCTTGAATCTGGCATCTACTGCATCTGAGTCAGAGGCACAATAAAAGTAACGGGCGTCGGACGCGTTACACATCACACGCAGAAAAAAAATATAATATTATACAATAATTTGGTAATAACTGATTATTGGCCGGTATTTGATTATGACGTAGTGTCGGCCGGTTAACTCGACCATGGGTACTAGGCAGCGGTTTAAGTGTGTGTGTGTTGACTATCATAATATGCATATCGCCTTTTTTGTTTTGGATGTGGGCAGAGATGCCCGCGGGACCGAGAGCGCTATCATATTATATTCGACATCATTATTGTTGTTCATTTTCGACCGTTACACAGTGAAACCTCTAAATACCGGACACCCCTGGACACTAAAGTTTTTTTCTGCTATTTGGAGGTGTTTGCTATTCAGATTGCTAATCATATAAAGGATATTTATCGAAATCACTAAAAAAACATCTGCTATTGGGAGGTTTCACTGTATATACTATATATATAACAATAATAGTTATGTTGGTTTTACTTCGGTTGACTCACGAAAATAAATTTATACCTGAAAACTAAAATGTAAAGATACTTAAAGATAGTAATAAAAAGTAAAACAAATTTATTTTATGTATTTAAACATTTATTATATATTTTTTTAAGTATAGGTACACATGTGAGTAATCTATAGTGCTATCTCTTATTCATCATCTTCTTTATTTTGGACGCTTCTTTTTCTGCTGCCTTTAAGCTGAAAATATATATATATATGATTTATGAAATAATAATAACAAGAGGGAAGTAAGTTAGTCACGGAGAGATCATTTTATTGGTAACCAAAAAGAAATTTAAAAAAAATATATTTATAATAAGATAGGTATATTAAGAGCTGCTATTTAAAATAAGTTAATAGGCACTAAATAATATAAAACTATTATAACTATTTATTTAACTTTTAATAATATACATGGTTAATATACTTATGAGTTGACCAACGTACATATATATTTTTCCTTTTTTTAATATACTAATAAATTGTAAGCTTAGGTTTTATAACTAAACATTTAAATTAAAGACAATGATAAATTCCTAACAAATATATTGTTTTGATTTATTACACTGATTTCACAAGAATTTTCTAAAATAATAGTTTTAAATTTATGAATAAATTATATAAAACACATTTTGGATAAGTATTTCCATAAAACAAATGAATATAGATTATCAATTCTTAATTTATTAATTTAACTAAATATTTTTTAGTTTAAATAGTATAATGTTTCATTAATACCTGTTTAAGTTTCTTTGATAAGCATGTCGCAACCAATTTTTGATTGAATTTACGATGTCTATTTCAGTTGAGTTTTGGATCCTTTTCTGCACCACTTCTAAAAATAAAATAATTTTATTAATTAAAATGCCCAAAAATGAAGAACTAAAATTTCCAGTTTACTATTTTTTTAAACTTGTTATTAATCAATATACATATAAGAAATAAATTATATACCTATTATTATTTTAGGAAGTAGCATGGTAGATAAAACTTTTTTTCCTTTTCCACCCATCCAACTGTAACACATAGCTAATTGATCAGAGTATATTATTTAATATTTTTAAAATATACTTGGTAGACTCATCTGTTTTTGAACCACCCATTTTGGATAGAGCTGTCAACTATAAGTAAAAAAAATATCATTAACATAACAATTTTCAATTGAACCTAAATAATAAATTTCAAAAACTCAAATCATACCATGTTTGGCTTATAAATTTCATCGTATTTTAGTTTTATTTAAACATTTTGTAAATCAAGTTCAAATTTAAGAGGAAAATTGTCTAATATATTCGTATTGTAAGTATCAATGTTCGTGTTTTGTGGCGAAGGATAATTCAACGAGGAAACTTTTTCATCTAATTTTAATAAATGAAGTTTTATATGTGATAGTTGTCTTAATACTCGGTCTTGAAAATCTAAAACAAGTAATATGTGAAAAATGTATAGGTACTTGAATCTAAAAATAATTCATGCATTGTATAGTCTAATAATATAGTTAATTTAGCCTTATGAACAATATATATGCAATGTCTGCAATAAATTATGTTATGTGAACATGTCAACAATTCATATACATAATATATATACACGCTAGATAGATGATTTGATGACTAAAAATATATGATGATGTATATTGTATAAGAATATATGCACATTCAATTTTACCATTATTAGAAAGGCGTCGTTCACGGTTTTTTCCTTTTTGGAACAGAGATATATTATCTGTTATGTCGTCATTGTAGCTTGAACTTGGACATGCATTTTCTAAAATATTTCATACATAAAGATTACATCAAGATTTAATTGTTATATTTATTGAATTAAGTGTAATTAATTTTATGTTTACGTGAGTTAGTTGGATGGTCACTGTAAGATAGTTCATCATAACTTGGACTAGGATGGAAAGGTTCTAAAATATTAAATTAAAATAAATTTTATACTATCTATATTTTATTCTTATATATTATATCTTTACTTGAGTTAGCTTCACGGCCACATAAAGGTTCATCATAATTTGGTCTTTATGAGCGTGAATGTTCTAAAATGTATACATAATGTGTGTATGTATATATATATATATATAATGTTATAAACATTTAATTTAATACGTCAATTAAATTATTTTATTATTATTGTATCTTTACTTGAGTTAATTGCAGAATGGCCACTGGAAGGTTCATCATAACTTGGACTAGGATGGAAAAGTTCTAAAATATTAAATTAAAATAAATTATATATTATTTAGATATTTTTCTCATATTATTGAACTATAAATATGTTATCTTTATTATTATAATTATATTATATTATAAGAGATTTTTACTTGAATCAGTTTGATAGTCACTTGAAGGATTACTATTGTAGATTAAACTTCGACGGACATTTTCTAAAATGATAATATTATGTTATCTAGATTTAATTCTTATATTATTAAATTATAAATGTTATAATATATTTACTTGAGTTAGTTAGATGACCACTGGAAGGTTTGCCATAGATTGGACTTTGAAAACGTTCTAAGATATTGAATTTAAATTAAATTATTAAGAATTTATAATTAGTAGAACATTTATTTTTTTACTGGAAAGTTTCAAAGAAGTATTTACCTCCATAGTCATATGATACTGGTTTATTTGATGATCTATTTTTTTTGTATACAGAAATTCTTAATTTTAGCTTTTTTTTATTGCTTATCGACATCAGAAGTTTCAATAACTGGACCTTCTAAATGTTTTTTTCAGGTTAACAGATTTGGTCATATTAATAGATTCCTCGAAGTACCGCCTATCTCTAGTTGTTGAAGAGGTCTATCAGATTTCCGCAACTGTCGTTTGAGTAATCTAAGTTTATTTTCAAATGGAAAAGCGCTAAATTCATCCAAAGTCCCTAATAATTTGGCATCATTTACAATATGCAACAATCCGTGAACATTATGAGAAACAAATTCTTTTCCATATAAAATTATAAATGTATCAATAAAATGTTGTAAAAGTTTTTGAGCATTATCAGAATATTTTTGCAGAAGACTCTTACTACACAAAATTCGCATTCATATGGAGTGTCATAATATGAACTATAACTTGTGGATGTAAAATATCTTTTAGAACAACTGGACAGGTATATAACAAGAACTGTCTTAATTCTATGGCTTTCCATTTACCAATAAATTCAATATTTTGTGGTTTTCGAGCAAAGTCATTTGTAATGAAATGTTTTATAGATAATAATTTTGAAGTCAACAACGATATTTTAGGATGAGGTAAACGTACGAATCTACAATGTGGTTTGCCCTCTAGCCACAATTTAATGATTTTCCTAACAACACCGATGCATATTAAATGCATATAATCCAAACATATTCTAGTAATGGGTTGCTTAAAATTTGGAATATGCAGTAAAATTGATTGTCCCTGATGAAAGTCCTCATACTCATGTCGTATGAATGCCTCATCACTACAATTCCATGCATAGACAGCTTTATACATAAATTAACTGAAGAAACATATAAGAGATTTGGTCAGTTAGAAAAAGATATGCTGTTAGCTGAGGCAACATTTTTGGATCCTCGGTTCAAAAAATATGGATTCAAAAATCATTTTGCTTTTCAAGACACCAAAAGATCTATTGTCAACAAAGGAAAAATTATAATTAGTGAAAAAAATGTACAGCAACGTAACTTGACAACTTACCCGATACCACCGACAGGGAGTAATAAAGAAGATTCAATTTGGAACGACTTTGATTTGGAAGTTACTGATATAGTTCAGTCTCAGGATCCAAAAGCGTTGATGATTATCAAAGTAGATAAGTATCTTCAAGAACCTTTGATTGCAAGATCAAACGATCCATTAAAACGGTGGAATGAAAACAAAAAAAATTTACCCTACTTTGTTTGAAATAATGAAGCGGCGTTTTTGTATACAAGGTACATCTGTTCCGAGTGAACGTGTGTTTTCCAAATTTGGACAAGTGGTAACTGAAAAACGAAACAGATTATCAAGTAAAAGGGTTGAGCAAATTATTTTTTTAAATTTCAATTTAAAATAAATTTTATTATACAATTATAATAATACTAAATTATTTTACACTAAAAAGTTAATTATTATTATGTCATTATAAGAATAGTATACTTAGTACTTACTACTTACAATAACTTAGTTCTTGATTTTAAGTCGATAAGTCATAAATATTTTCTTTTTTATTAAATAACGAAGCGCAAAATGTTGTTTAATTTGTTTGTGTTGTTCTTATTTATGATAACTGATAATATATAATAATGATAACATGGGCACAGGTATTTTTGCCTTTTGGCGTAAAATAATGATTGTATAGTGTATACTAGTATACTAGATGTCATTGAAGATTGAACAAAATTTAACCATAGATATATAAACATATTATTACCCAATTCAGTTTTCAAACAGTGTTACTGATGAACCGATTCATTTTACAACACTGAATCGAATCATTCATGAATTACCCATCCCTACAGTAAACCACACGCCTTGTGGCGAACGTGTGCAGTTCAGATATTATATTTATTAATAGGATGCCACTAAATGATTGTTTTCTCTTTCTAACGCTTCTTATTTATATATGATGCATACGGTATATCATTTCGTTTGACAATTAATTATTGAGAATGAAAAACCCAAGTGAACGTTCACCGTAGCCCGTAGCCTGTAGGCATCCATATAGAATTAACAATGCAAGAAAGCGCGGCACGCGACAATGAGACATGTTTCATCTGGTCGTCAGTCGTCCCTGCAAATAATTACAAATTGATTGTTTTTGATTTTGTGCCAATTGTAACGAGATAAAACGAGTGTTTTTTGAAATAGCTCATGCTATCTTGCGGTGGCCGAAAGCGTTAGTACGAATGTAGTGTTACCTACAGCACATAATCGGTACACCGTTGAAACCCAATTAAAAAGCGGGATGACAATGAGCGTAAGCGCAATGTGACTAATTAAGCATCAATTAGTCATATGTAATGTTCATATATGTACCATAACTTAAAATCCATCAGTTAAAATGCAAATAAATAATATTATCACTAGTGATAAGAGTTGCGTACAGAGTGCGTGTCACCAAATCAACTCTACGACAGCCAACATTTTACAACTTTAAATGTAACCTACGGCGAAGTTGATGTCTATGATATAAAAATTAATCAGAACGTAAACTCCCAATATGAATTAGCATAACCAAATACACGAGATGCAGTTTAGAAAGTCAAGAAAGTCAAGAACAAATCAAGCATAGTAACCACCATTCTGCACGGTATCAGTAGTGGGATAACAGCACATATACAGGCCGAATTTGGCCATACAAAGTCACGTCGATCGAACTTTCGGTACAACTCCTCTCCTTACCCTGCAGTGTTACTAGTGGTACAGCTTTGACTGTACTGTTCAAGCTACTACCACTCAGCGTTAGAGAGGAAAATCCCATAAACCCACTACACGTACTCTGCAGTGATACAGCTCACCACTGTATTGATCAAGCTGCAGCTCTCCGTGTAGTAATCGCTACGCTTCCACAAACAAATTCGTTCTCTCCATACGCTTCTACAATGGTATAGCTCATCACTATACTGATCAAGCTGCAGAACTCCGTATAGCAGAGAACGAATATTCGTATTATCCGTCGCCGGAACATCGTCGTCGATAAACACCGTATTCCGTAATTCTAAATAAACGTCACGCACATCTGTATTGTTGCCGTTGACTATCGAATTTATCATTATCATTAGTGTTGTCCGCTCCACCGTTGTGAAACCACCAGTCATATGATAGCCTGCACCAACGTCGCCATGAGTTAATAAGCCAGTGTCACTGAACAGGAACCAGCCTGCAGTCACAAGTATTAACACCACTATCATTCAATTCAGACTCCGGGAGCCGTGTGATACCTACCTTGCTAAAGAGGTGATGCGTCGCGGAAAAATACGTGAGTCATATCCAGTTTATATAATCAAACATTATATTATATCTCTAGCTCGGAGAGCACATATATACATTAAAAAGAAAATACTGTATTGAAAACATTATAAACAAACATTATATTATATCTGTAGCTCGAAGAGCACATATATAAACTAAAAAGAAAATATTGTAAACGAACATTATTAAATATTATAATATATTTGTAATAATAAATAAAAAATAAAAAAACACACTATAGGTACATCAAAACAAATTCGTGTGTAATTTATCGTTACACAATATTGAAAATTTTTCGGGGGACGTTTCTTCTAAACTCAATGAAATATAAGTATTAAGTGTGTATATACTATTGACAATATTAAAGCTATAATTACAGTATTGTCTTTAATAAATGTTATGAAAGGAAATTCACTACAAGCAATAATTACTTTTTTAGATTGTCAGTGGAGCAAATAATGTATTGGTCTTACAATGATGTGTGTTTTTTTTGTTTGTTGTAACCTTTTGTAGTGGGTAGTAAAAAGTAAATGCATTTTCGTGTTTGAGGGTAGATTACGTCTACTACTTGAATATTTAATATAATTTATGCATTAAATATATACGGAAAAAACAACAAAACGACATTACGCACATAAATATTTGACAAAATTGATTTTTGTTTTTGTCGTATTTCAAAAAATTAACAACCGTAGATATATGCAATTTTCACAATTTTATAGACGTGAATATATTTGGGGAATATCATGATTATTTTTGGGAAATTTATAGACATTCAATATTATCGACTTTTTTCGTTTTTATTCTAATTGGGTCTGGTAGAACTTTTGTTTGTGATTAAAACAGCTTGAAAATGTAATATAGGTACCTTCATTTTTGTTACATTATTGTAAATACATCGAAAATACATTTGTACAATTTTCTTTTATTGAAATTTAAAACTTTAGTGCTGAGGAAATTGTATGTTGATAAAAAAATAATTAATATAATAAAATTTAAGTTCTTATATGGCAATATTATTCATAAACATAAATAATATGGATTATTACTTTTACATGTATTATTATTCTCTAATATGAATAATATAATTTTAAAATATTTAGCCTAATTTTAAGGTATTTATATCACACACCTCTTCAAACCATTTACTGTACCTACGTGGTATGGACTAATAACTAATAAGTTAATATAAATTATGATTAAAATAATAATATTATTATTATGGATACAATTCTAATATTATTATCATTTAATGTGTGACGCTCATGTAATATTTTGTTGTTGTTTCTCCAGTTTTGTGAGTTTTTTCAATTTTATTTTAATTGATTAATACTTTATCGTCGATAAAATTAATTAAAATACAACATAATAAATAACAATAGGTATTATTATTAATTGTTTTATTTATATAATAATATATTATACATTTTAAACATTAATTCAACTTTGGTTTGATATCTTAGATTAAGTACCCCGTGTTTTTTTTTTTAACATACATTTTTGATAATAAAAAGTGAAGTATACTTTTTATTTTTATTTTTGAAAAGAATTTGGTTTTGTTTTTTAATGAAAAAATTATACTTTTTAAATTTTTTTTTTTTTAGAATTTGTCAATAAATTATACTCAATATAAATTATAACTATGATTATCTATGTTATGTATGAAACTATATATATATTTCTTACATTTGAAATGCGATGTCTTTAGTTAGCATAAAATAACATAAAATAACTAGTTTTATTTGTCTAAAAATTTTATGAGAACTAAGTACTTTTTATTTTTCACAACGAATTGAACAAATATATTTTTTATATTATTTGTCATTTTTTAACCTTGTTATGACACTTATATTGTAATATACAATATTTAGACTTAAAATAAAACACGAGACAACTAATGACAACGGACCGTATTATGGGGTATGGGTGGTCCGATATGCATATATACGTACGCATTAGGTACATATATACATTATACGCACTCCTCTTACATACACGCAGCATATTCAACACATAAATAATATCCCACACCTCTTCGGCCAGACGTTTAGTTAGTGGAGACAATACAATCAAATACCAAAGGCGCAAGTAAACACCGTATATCATAAAATCATGAACACACTCTTTTATATACCTATACGTACATCACACGTGTACGTACACACATATATATATATATTATATACTTCAAGAACCCTTCGATAATTCTCCAATCAAGACGTTCGGTGAAAACAAAACTTTAAATTACCAGCTGTACCGTTGTCACACCACACGAAATAATAAAAATATATCAATACTTTAATCCATGCACAAGAAGAAGGGATCAAGCAAAATCATATTATATAAGGGGTACAGAGAATCGACTCGAACCCAGTATCTTTCAGGAGAAGACTCATGCACAACGTCCACGCCAGTCAACATCACGATCTTTTTCCACTACTGTCCAAGCCATCACTGTGCGTTTATGTGTATACAATATAATATGTATATTGAATCATTCCTTCACCCGGTATGTCTGTCTAAATTAGTTGTCTCTTTCACAGTGTACATTGAATTGGTTCCTCTTTTACCCTCACCTATCCATGGTCTTTCAAAAACATAAGGTTCGGGAATCCATCATATCCTCGTGCTTGTTGCATCACTATGCACATTTATGTCTTAGAACACGAGTATAGGATAAGGCGCTCTTTAACTTAAATTAATTCGGTCGGGATTGGACCTATGCGTACTCGTTGCCACGAATGTAGGGATTTACGCGCTATACGTCGAATATAAGGATAGAAGCAGTTTGTTCGTATATCAAAAAAAAATAGTTTAAGTACATTTTAACTATTTATATTATTAATTAATAAGAGTTTTTATTAAATTAAAGTTTTTAATATATCCATCAAAACATGTTATGTCCATGATAAAAATATATTATAATTGCCATTTATAACAAGTTCCATTTA